GGAAATCTGTATTCCACAGTAATTTTGTCGATGACTCTAATGTTAATACTTATTCTCCAACTCCCATCTTTCTTTGGAACCAATAAAGTTGGTTCATCACATGGACTCAATACTTTCACACACACAATCCATCTCTAATCTCTCTAAGACCTGCATATTAAGCTCTTCATGCTCTTTAGGAATCATTCGTTAATGTGGCTTGATAGGTAAACTAGCTCTAGGCATTAGGTCAATGTGGTGTTGGATGTCCTTCATGGGAGGTAATCCATGGGGTAAATTATGTGTCATAACATCAGCAAGCTCCTCTAAAAGTGGCTGAACAATAGCTGGACAATTTGATCCAGCAAGATTCTCTTTGCCTATTATACCATTTCTATGCCTCCTTCAATTGCTCCTCAACATTGGCCATGGAGCGTAAATTAACACCCTCCCCTAATTTAGGTTTAGGTGTAATTTCCTCTTTAGATGGAACCAATATTATCTTTTTCTTATCTTTATATAAGGTATAAGTATTTTTGCAGCCATCATATTGCACTTTTTTTTTCAAATTGCCAAGGTCGACCAAAGAAGAAATGACACGCATCCATTGCCACAACATCACACCATACTTTATCAAAGTACCAATAGATAAATTAACCAAGCATCATTTAGTGATGAGTACTTCATTCCCTTTCTTGAACCAAGAAAGTTTTTAAGGTTGAGGATGTGCTTCCATGGATAGATCTAACTTCATCACCGCTTCTTGAGAAATGATGCTTTCACAACTTCCATTATCTATGATCAGCTTTCAAACACGACCACCATTGGTACAAGTGGTTTGGAAAATATTATGTCGCAGCGAATCCTCAGGATCTTCGTGCCATGGTGGCATGGTGTTATAAAGGCTTTTCACATCACAAGAGAAAGCCTAGTGTCTCCTCTAACAATAAGATCCATGTCATCATCATCATAAATAGGGTCCTCTTCTTCTTATGGTTCTTCTTCTTCTACACATTCTTCCATAAGAAGTAGTTTTCCTTCACGACTATTTACTTTTCGACATTTAGTTGACTTGTGTCCTGATGCTCCACATTTGAAGCATTTAACTCCTATTGAAGATTTAATGGAGGAATTAGTGGAGGAAAATCAGTAATTGATGTTGTTTCCTATTATCGAAGATTTGGTGTTATTAGAGGAATCAGTGGAGAAAAATCCTCCTTATTTCTTATTTTCTAATTCTTTCCATTCTCATAATTTATTCTCCTATATAAAGGAGTCTCCACCATTGTATTGTGTATGAATTGAGAGCGTATTATAAAAGTGATGTAGTCCTTTGGGCTCTTTGTGCCGTGGATGTAGGCCCTGGTGGCTGAACCACGTAATATCTATGTGTTCTACTTGTTTTATTTATCTTTTCGCTTCTGTTTTATGTTTTACAACATGGTATCAGAGCCTAATTTCTCTTCTTAGGTTTGGACCCCCTATTTTAGGGTATTCCCTTAGTATCTGAAATGTTGCTAAGGGTTTATCGGTGTTATTTGTGACTTGTTTGGGCTGCCGGTTTGTTTGGCAGTAATGTTTTTTGCCTTTGACGTGTCTCCGACAGTTTTTATTGACTTGTTTGGGCTGTCGGTGTGTTCGATAGCATTGTCTTCATCTTTGCTGTGTCTCGGTAGTTTTTATCGACTTGTTTGGGCTGCCGGTGTGTTCAGTAGCATTGTCCTCGCCTTTGCCGTGTCTCCGGGAGTTTTTTGTTGACTTGTTTGGGCTGTCGGTGTGTACGGTAGCATTGTTCTTCGTCTTCTCTCTTATCTCTTCATCATTAACACTTGTTGTTGGTGTTACTCGTCATCTTAATGGTAAGTTGGGCATTCATGCTCCAACTTGAGGGGGAGTATTGAAGATTTAATGGAGGAATCAGTGGAGGAAAATCTTTTAGTAATTGATGTTGTGTCCTATTATTGAAGATTTGGTGTTACTAGAGGAATCAATGGAGAAAAATCCTCCTTATTTTCTAATTCTTTCAATTCTCATAATTTCTTCTCCAATGTAAAGAAGTCTCCACCATTGTATTGTGTATGAATTGAGAGCGTATTATAAAAGTGATGTAGCCCTTTGGGCTCTTTGTGCCGTGGATGTAGGCCCTAGTGGCTGAACCACATAATATTTGTGTGTTCTACTTGTTTTATTTATCTCTTCCCTTCTGTATTATGCTTTACAACAACTCCTGCTCCACTGGACTGCAGTTTAGCAACAAATGCTCCACCACCTGGCCGTGATTGAGGGGCTGCATTTCTGCCACTTTGAGCCACTGTTGTTGTTGGTCCATTGCCAGCAATGGTTCCATGAGATTGCCCCTTAGAAGTTGTAGCTCGATTAGAATTAACCTGATTATTTGGTGCTTTGTGTCCCTTTCGCTTGCTGCATTTATGCGGCTTTGGTACGTTGATATGCTTGAGAAACATTCCAAATATTTTGCTGTTCAGTATATGCTGCAGATTAACTTACTTATCAAAAAAAAAAAAAAAGAAAAAAAAATGCTGCAGATTAACTCGTAATCCCCCTATATACCGGGCAACATTTTGTTCCTCACTTTCATTTAACTCACTCGTGAGAACAAGTTCAAAGTATTCCTCTGTGTAATCATCAACTGTCCTGCTATTTTGGCAGCTTTTGAAACATTGACTAGGTATAGTTGTAAGGAATAAAAGTCTCCCTTAGCTTCTTTCACATCTTTTCCTAATCAACAATCGTGGTCTTTCCTTGTCTTTGTCGTGTCATAATGAACTAATCCCACCAAGCTGATTCTCTTCCCCTTAGTTTCATTGCGACCAATTGCACCCTTTTATCCTTAGGTACATCATTCAGGTCAAAGACTCTTTCCACAGTTAAAAACCAATCAATGAAACCTTCTCCGTTAAGATCTCTTGCAAATTCAGGAATTTCCACCTTAAAACCACCATCCCAACGCCTTTCTTCAAATGGAATTGGTGCTGGTGTGGGTGCTGCGTTTCTGCGAAAAGGATTAACAAAATCCTCTTCCAGATTGTCCTCTTCAGATTTGACGTAATCTTGAGAAGGGGCTGGGGTTTGCACAACATGTTGGGCTAGAGCATCAATCTGCCTTCTTCGATCTTCTATCAAAGCATGCACCTGTTTATCAACTGCTGAGTTCTGATCAGGCCGAATGGCTGGTCTGCGAGGTAGGTTTCTTCTCCATGGTGGCATGTTGCAAACCTAAGAGAGAATCTGATAACTCAACACAAAACCACTGGAGCAGAACTTGCTACCGACTAATGCAATCAACTATGAAAAAGAATAACATCTATAAGAACTGAAAATAGAGAGCTAGATCAAGCTAGAGAATTGCTTAAACACCCACAACTCAATCCCAAAAGAAAGGTAGTGGTAGAAAGCTGCTGTAACAGGCTGAATATATTGATAATACCCAAAAGCTGTTGAATACAACTTGGAACAACCCTTTTATGAGCCATAAGGGATACCCTAGCAAAGATTCTATACTAACCTTTCATATAAATATAATTCAAGAGCTACTATTCTGTCTAGAAGACTAAAAGGCACTAAAAATGACAAAACAACCTGTAAATGGTCACATGACTCGCTTAAAAGGCACATGATTACCCAGGGAAAACAAAAAGGCACATGATTTACAAAATAGAAGCAAAATGACAAAAATTCCTAACTAGAGCCTAAGACAAACATTAAACAAGAAATAAAGACAGATTTACTTAAGTAAATGTCTTAAAACTCATAAACAATCACACAATCTGATAAAATCATCAGCTGCCTATTGATGCAATCTCAGTCTAGTCTTCTTAGGATGTTCAACAGTTTGAAGAAAGTCCTCTTCCACCTACTCTGCATCATATGTGAATAACATGGGACAAAAGGGCCTGTGGCCCAAAAACCTCCTCATCCTCAAAGAGGAGGGGAGTGGTTTGAGCCCTGGCGTGGGCAAAAATGTGTGAGTACTTACCTGACCATATATATGTGTGTGTGTGAATAGAATGGAACATAAATACTTCTGAAAGAAACTATGGGAAAGTGGGGGAAAAAAAAACCATCAATGCAATCTTCTTGGATCAGTGACATTGATGCTCTTATGTTCATCGCAAAACCCCATTTTCTTAGCCATCTTTTGGTCCCACTTCTCAAATCCCTCGCTGCTCCGTTAACCCACGAAACATGTGCAACTTTTCATCCATAGCGTTATGAACCTTCCACTATCTTTAATTTGAGCAAAACTGAACGTTGATCACTAATGTCCCAATTACAATCACAGTCTCTATACTTCTTCAACCTGATATAATGGCTTTGGAGATAAGAGGCTTTTCAGAGGAGAAAAAGAAAAGAGGTTTTGTAGAAGTTTATTTGAGAGAGAGGGTTTTCTGTTGAGAGAGACGGAGAAGAGAGAGAGGGCTTTAGGTAGAAAGAGAGTGCCTGCCTCGTTTTTGGCTTAATCTATACATTTTTTAATATATATATATATATATTTATTTTGTTCCTTAACGTCCGTTTATTATGATGAGATACCTCTCAAATTTCTAGAGAGATATTTGATCCTACGATTTAAAAGGGGGAGCTCGTGATTATTCTCATGCGAGCGCCCCTGTTATAGCGTTACTCTTTCTTTCTCTCTCTCTCTCTCTCTGGACTGAATGTTTAGTGAATTTTCATACACACTACATCAGTGAACTCCCTAGAAGTCTCCAGCAATAATCATTATCATCATTATTTATCCACCTTTCGCATCCGCTTGGCAACAGTGATCTAGTATTTATAGCAATTGGCAGAATGATGTTTCATAAACTCAAAATATGGGTAGGACATCTGGGTGCGCGTGGTCTGGCAGAACCTCTGTGGTTAGAATCTATAGTTTTTATTTATTTTTATTATTATTATTATTATTATTATGATTAAGCTTATGTTACTTATGTAATGAACATCTATGTTTACTATTTGGTTCCAATGTACGTGTGACAGCTCTTATTCTTTTGTAGATCTTGGCTGCTTTAGATATTGTCCGTCAAGGTGCAGATATGATGCCAAGGAGCCAGCTGAATCAAGTTTTGGATGCTGAATTAGGTCCTGAATGGTCTTCCAAGTTGATTAGTTTTGATTATGAACCAATGGCTGCAGCAAGTATAGGCCAGGTGACTTAGCTATATTAGTAAATTATTTTTTCTTCATTATTTACTAGTTGCCTGCTTCTGTCGATTGTGCCGTTCAATTAGTCATTTCAATATGCCATGGGGACAGTGCAATTTGAGTTTACGGAAAGAATTAGTTGTTACTTTACCTCTGCAAATATTTTTCAACTAAAAAGGGCAAAAAGGAAAAGGAAAAAGAGAAGTCTAAATTTTCATGTACTAAGTGATGCCAAGAATTGTTTCCAAGCGCTGCAGTCATGAATACTACAGTGCCTTAGCAATAATAAAATCGAAGATGCAGAAAATGGCTCCCTTTATGAGTTATGATCTTTTGAAATCTGTAGCAACAACGAACATCAGGTCTTTGAAAAGGAGGCGCCATTTTGATTGCATTGGAATTCCATATTACTTATGCATAGCTTCCGGGATTCTACTTCTTCTCCTTGCTAAACTTTTTGCATCTTAGACATGCACCCTGAAACTAAACTTCATCTAGGAAACAAGACTGCTTAAAAGAACTATAGAAGACTTTATGGAAAGGTGAAACCTCTAGACAACTAAAACCAGGGATCTCAAAACAAATGCTTAAAAAGTAAATTGATGAAGAAGTTATAATTGGGGATTTTTTTTGATAAGTAATAATGAATTAAAAAAGGCATTTAAAAGGGGAGCGCGTCCCATAAACAATAGAGAAACCGGGGTCTAAGGCCCCTAAGAATCCAAAAAAGTAATTAAGTCATCAGAAGAGGAACAAGAACTCCTCTTCACATAACTAAAGAGAGAACGAATAATAAAAAGTTTTAGTGTCGCTGTAGACGACTCCTTCCCTTCAAACATTCTACTATTTCTCTCCTTCCAGATGCACCACCAAACATAATGTGGGACAGATCTCCAATAATCACGAACACTCCTACTCACATGACAACCTCTCCAGGCATGAATCAACTCCTTAGTAGAACGTGGTATTACCCAACACATGCCAAACAGGCCAAGAATAAGATTCCAGCAATCGTGCGCTACAGAGCAATGCATTTGGAGATGATCAACTGACTCCCCATCCTGCTTGCATAGGCAACACCGATTAACAAAACAATTTCCCCTTTTCCTCAAATTATTGATGGTCAGGATCTTACCCCAAACAGCGGTCCATACAAAGAATGCCACCCTAGTAGGAGCCATTGAGCGCCATATGGTCTTCCATGAGAAATCATAGGATACAAAATTAGACAAACATAAGAACAAGGATCTTACTTCAAAGTGACCGTGAGAAGAGGGAATCCATGTCAAATTGTCATAACCCCTGCCAATTCCTTCCTGCCGATACAATTGGTCCAATAAAATGCTCACCTCTTCCAACTCCCAGTCCTGAAATGAATGCCGAAAATGAACATTCCACGTAATCCCACTATTATCAAAATGATATCTAACTATAAAGGCAAAGTCATATATGTTTAATGTGGGTATCCAATTTGAGCTCTTCATGTGCTGCCAAGGTGGCAGTCTACATGTTACTTTAAGCTCGATATGTGGCATGCTTGTAAAGGCCCACTGATGGAGAACCAAATATGGTCCGAGAGCTTGAAGTACAAGTGTTTTGCCTTTACTATTGGAGACGTGGAAAAGATAGATAGTATTAGGGATTTTTGTTTATTTATTATCATTATTTTAGTAATGTCTTAATTTTGGGATATTTTAGTAATTTAGTATTTTAGGGTTTTATTTTTGGTAGTTGGATTTTATTAGGGTTTTCCTCTGATGCCTATTTATATGTGGGTTGATATATTGTGAAGATACCTTTTGATGATTAGTGAGTATTGAATTGAGTGATTACAAATATTTCTCCCCCCTCATTTTTCTTCTTCTCCCTTATTCTTCTTCTCTCCTCTCTCATTCTACTTAAATTTTGATATCAAAGTGCCCTTACCTGTGCTACATCACCCACGTATCACTTCAGCTAAAAGCGCATCTCCATTCTTTAGCAGACACATGTTAGTATTTTCATGAATCACGCACGTAGTCATCTCAAAATGTGCCATGTTTTAAATCTCCATAAAGCATCAAAATGTTAGTCCCAATGTTAGCATACGCGGTGCCAAGATCTTGGATTTTGATGAATGGGTAAAAAGCAAGAGTTATCTCTGGCGTCGTACACTCTTTGTTCACTCAGCTAGCGCTGTGCACTCTCCGGCCACATTGGCCATATTACTATGTTGTTTGATTGTGAACTCTTTGGCTGTGCTGTCAGTTGTCTCCTTATATGATTATCCCCCCAGCACATCAACAAAGCCCGCTCAGCATGTGTTGCACTCTAACATAACAAAGCCTGGGTTGGGAGCTCTAGCTTGGTGCATGGCCATGGAGTAGCCTCTGGGTTGTGCCACAGCCTACCTTGGATCCTATGGGTTGAGGGTTGGGGCTGAAGCTTAGGTTTCCAAACTTTTCCTTCACAGTCTCACCGTGGCTTGTTTTGAAGAATGAGAGATGCACCCGATTTCCAAGGTTATTTTTAAATGATGTGGCAGTGTACCATTACAGTACATGCATCTCCTTGATCTGATAAAATTTTTTGTCGGTATACAGGCATAGTAAAACTATATTGGAATCATCTTTTATACTGTCTTGATATCATTGTAAGTTGAAAACATTCCACTGACCTAGCTTTCTTCTATTAAAAACTAAATTTTAATTTGACAAAAGAGAATGAAAAATAATATGGGCTTGCTTTATTAATCTCAAGATTAAATGCACATCTAAAAAAATAATAATAGTAATAAAGTATGATTTAATATGCCTCCCTTGTATACTTTTATCCCTTCTACTCAATATCCTACTTTTCCTTTCCTACTGAATTGTTGTTCTGCAATTCACAACCTCCAGTGGATATGCACTCACTTCTTTTTCTTTTCTTTTCTATTTATTTATTTATTTATTTTTGTGTGTGTGTATGTGTGTGTAACTTGCTCAATTTGTTATCATTTTGCTATGTCAACAGTTAGGGAAGAGGTTAATGTGTGCAAATCTCAGCCACAATATCAATGGATACATCTCAGTTATAGTCAAAATACATAGTGCTCTGAAGCATTGAAAATGTAATGCTTTTGTTCCATTGGGACCAATTTTTATATGATGGAAAGTATTTCTGGGATTTTTAGATTTTATTTGAAAAGCAACCGATTTCAGGTGTGACAAGACATCCTTTCCCGTGATTAACTGCAGGAACATGACATTATTTTACAGGAATTATATGTATGACAAATTAAATTCGTTCTAGACGAATATTTACACGGTATTTTATTATTATTATTATTTTTTCTGGTATAATTCTTATAGGAAGCTTTTTTGTTAGGAACTTGGAACCAGTGGAGCCTTTTTGAAGCATTTTTGTGCTCTTTGGTCTGTCATTCATAAAATTTGTTCTCCCCTTCATAATCCTTAAATGGCAATGTGTCTTTCCCCTGTTAGATTTCATTGATTGGCTGAATAATTTTGAGTTTGCATTTTGATTATGTTATAACATTTGGAAGGCTGTATGTCTTTTCTTCTTACAGTTCTAGAATGATTTTTCAGGTGCACGGGGCTGTCACAAAAGATGGGTTGCAGGTTGCAATGAAAATTCAATACCCTGGCGTTGCAGATAGCATCGAAAGTGACATTGAGAATGTGAAACGGCTATTGACCTACACAAATATGATTCCTGAAAAACTCTTTCTTGACAGAGCCATGAAGGTAACCATTTATATAGTAGAAAAAGTCAAAGTCCTTGAAGGTTGACATTTTGCTTATAATATTTAGAGTGGCACTTCTTTTCATAAAAATGTTTAACAAAGTTTCTTGATACATGAGTCGATGATAGCGATTGCACCGAAGCAGGTATAGGGTGAGGCCTCCCTTTCATGCTTTGGGTTGAAACTAAACAACTATTTTTGAACTCAATGATTTTCTCAAAACAATGTAAGAAATAAATTTTAGTTTAGGTAGCATGGAAACAAATAGAATCTGAAACAAACATGAAAATTTTAACATTGCCATCACAATTAGTGTCATCTCCTAAATCATATGTCTAACCTCCAAGGAAGGACAAACACACCTAAAAGGTCGAAATGTTTGTGTCGGACGCATGTTGAACATGTGGCAGACACTGCCTGACACATGTCGAACATGCAAAAATGAATATGTTTCTGAAGAAAAAAAGGGTAAAGTAATCCCTTATATCATTCATTCTGGAAACTGTATGGTACAAAGAATTTATAGGAGAAAAATACAACTAACCTATAATTAAATCTCCTTAATTCTAACAGCTAATTACAGGGAAGAAGATCAAATCTAATAACTAACAGATTTGAAAATAAAAAAATCAAGTAACCAAATCTCCTACTTTCTATATTCACAAATTCAACTTAACTAACATAAAAATCTCTTCCCTAGAAAATAGGGATCTAAATCCGGAATTCAACAGTTTCCTTTTTTTGACACTTTGTGGGCACGAGACAGATACACCAACATGCTGCGGGCACAGCATGGGCACGTTGCAGAAACCGGATACTTGTGATGGTGAAAATAAAAGATAAAAGAAGAGAATTATAGGATCCTTACCTGATAAATCTACGCATGTTGACAACAAACTAACAATTAATCGCCAATTCTGTGAAGATTTGAAACAATAAAAAAGAAACTTATAAAACTTAATCAAAGCAGAAGTAGCCATTAAAATCCTTACTATGAACTCGTCGTTGCCTATGTCCTCTTACATGTCTGATTTGAATGCCTTAATGAAGTCGGCCAGCTTGGTAAAGAATAAAGATGCTGCCGGACCAGTGAAGACTCATTACCATTGGGTTTCTCAGAGGAGGAGGGATACAACTTCAAGTTTTTCTTTCCTCTTACTGTGAAGGAGGGGAAAGGGGTGTGGGTGAAGGAATTCTAAAAGAATAGAATATTTTGTCTACCAAGCGGGACATCCAACGCTGTAGTTTAATTGAAGATTGTGATGTTGTCGCCCGAAGTTTGTTTCGGCCCAAGTGATGTTGCGACCTGGTTTTGGCCCAAATTTTTTTTGACCTGGTTTTCTCTTGTGGACCTTGGACCTTGTTTAAGGACTCTTTTGTAGCCCAGTATATAAGGGTGTTTAGGATTTGGAGTGGGACATGAGAGAACACTGAAAACCGCAAGAAAGAGAGTGAGAGAGAGAGCTAGGGTTTGGGGGCTAAAACTTGTAATCCCCTGATTTTCTTATGAGTGAAATCTTTTGCCGAATCTTCACTATGGACGAAGGCTTTACACCAAATCACGTAAATATTTGTGTTCTTTGTTTGTGGCGTGTTTACTTTTTTGCTTGATTCTTGATTTATTCTTGGTTCATGGCGTTTGTCGTAACAAAGACTTTCAACATGGAGTGGTCGTTCACATTGTTCTGGTTGAACACTTTAGTTGCTTTGTCAATGTTTTGAAAATACACCTAAATTTTGGGGCTTGGGTTTCGGTTTGTCGACACCTCTTTGTTTTGCTTTTGTGTATTAGAAGATTCCGAAGTGACAGTAGGAAGCCCTTTTATCAACTTTTGGGTAAGTCAGGGCCCGTCTCCCTTCTGACCCCACCCTAAACCGGGTTGAGTTTTAATTTTTCTCCACTAACCTGCTCCTACTCCAAATAATCCCTCCTTAAACCCTTTCCAATTGGAATGGGTTATGTAGGTTACCAAAAGCAGGTTGAGTTGTCATATCTACTCGACATGGTTTGGTCACCATCATTTAGGGATTTGCTCCAAGAAGTTTCTTTGTGATGCTAGAGTGGATCAGTTGAGGTTTTTGTGGTGTGTTCTGGCCTGTTTCCAAGTCGTCTCAGGTTTAAATTTCAACATTGGAGTTGGTTCTAATCGGAGCAGTCGACAGCGTTCAGGACTTAACAAATATTCTTGGGTGTGGTGTTGGCATGCTCTCGATATCCTATGTTGGTGATGCTGAGCAGTAGCAATAAGCAGTTGTCCTGCAACTTTAGCAGTGGTTTACATGAAGGAAAGGGATTTCCAGCAATAAACATGCAGAAAAAATAGAGAGATAAAGCAATAGAATCAAAGTAGAACGTAGATAGGTGAGTTTTAGGGCAAAGAGACCCGAGAGAAACTCTAAATCTGATTTTCTGGAATAAAAACTCTTTACAAAGTCTCTTAAAAGACTATTTATACTAGTTACAGTAGCCCTAGCATCCTAGCCCTTGTTTACTTTAATGACTAATAAATCCTAACCCTCCAAAATACTTAAAAACTCACATGACAATCACATGACCATTAAAAAGACTAGGACTATAACTATCATCTACCAAATAACATAAAACATAACAATAAAATAAGAAGCATAGAAAATAAGCAAATACTCACATGACAGTCACATGAGTTCTAGGGCAAAGAGACCCGAGAGAAACTCTAAATTTGATTTTCTGGAATAAAAACTGCTTAGAAAGTCTCTTAATAGACTATTTATACTAGGGTTACAGTAGCCCTTGCATCCTAGCCCTTGATTACTTTAATGATTAATAAATCCTAACCCTCCAAAATACTTAAAAACTCACATGACCATTAAAAAGACTAGGACTATTACTATCATCTACCAAATAACATAAAACATAACAATAAAATAAGAAGCATAGAAAATAAGCAAATAACTAAAACCCTAAGATAACTAGAACCCAAGCCTAGTTGGCTAGCGGGCCCGATTAGTCTTCGATAGCCTCGTAGATGCTCCTGCATCAACTCCACCAGGCTGGGAAAAACTCGACTCTGGCGAGAGAGCCTTTACGCTAAGAAGCACGGACACGGATACGACACGACACGGACACGGCAAATCCAAAAAAATTAGGACACGGACACAGCGAATAGTATATATATATATATGATGTAGTACTTTAAAAATTACTGGGTGTTACTATTTTTCATCAACCTCACAATGAAAAAAAAAAAAACAAATCAGAACTCATAACTAATAAACTATAAAAGAACAATGTTGCAGAGTTATAAAACCAAATAAAAAAAAAGACATTAGAATACTAACTAGTATCATTTAATTATCATTGCAACCTTACTCTAAATACAAAAGCATAGACAGAAAGGACTATTAACATTCATGACTGTTTAACATTCAAGACTTTACTGTTAGCACTTAATATTCACAAAAACCTAAAGGCTAGTCCCCAAAAAAGATACAAAAACAAGTCAGTGTACTATCATCTATTCTCATCCATCATTTGACCTAGGAATTTTACCATTTACAATACCAAAAGGGTAGTACAAAACAAAAAACATAACATATCAGCATTAAAAAAAAAAAAAAAAAATTTCCAGACACACGGAGTGTCCGTGCTGTGTCCGTGTCCGCGGAGTGTCCATGCCGTGTCCGCAGAGTGTCCGTGCCGTGTCCGAAAATTCAAAAGAAATAAAAAATTCTAGACACGTGTTTTGGTGTGTCCGATACATGTCGGGGCGTGTCCGACGCGTGTCCATGTCCGGCACGTGTCGGACACGGATTCTTCGCCCATTTTGGAGTGTCCGTGCTTCCTAGCCTTTACAACTTCAGCATATATTTCTGGATCCATGTACTGTCACTAGTAGGTTTACTCAACCATTTCACTAGAAACTGCCTATACTGGTTGCCCCTCCTTGATTTCACCTCTATAACATCCAATACATCTTCAACAACATCTGGTTGCACTTTTGGAAGGTGCTTGAGTTGTGCCTTTGTTGAAACTGGTCCCCAATCAAATCCTTCAAACGAATACAAATCAGACACATTGAAGATTGGGCTTACTTGGAGGTGGCAGCTCTTTCATGTACGCATTTGAGCTAATTTTCTTCAGCACCTTGCATGGCCCAAACTTCTTTGACTTCAGTTTATGGTACGTGCCTTTTGGGAATCTGTCTCGCCTCAAATGCACCAAAACCATGTCACCCTCTTCAAAATTTTTGACTTTCCGGTGTTGATTGGCTGCTGTTGCATAGGATTCATTACTAGCCTTTATCGCTGCCCTTACTTCTTCGTGGACTCTTTTGATGTGATCAACAAATGCCTTTCCATCATCACTCACTTCTACCTCTTGTGGTAGTGGAACTAGATCAAGAACATGCTGAGGTTTTAGTCCATAAGCAGCTTCAAAAGGTGTCTTCTTTGTAGATCTATCCACGGAATTATTGTATGCAAATTCAGCTTGCAGAATAATTAAATCCCACCTCTTCACATTGCTTCCAACAAGGCATCTCAGCATATTATCCAAATTTCGATTTACTACTCCAGTCTTACCATCTGTCTGAGGATGGCATATGCTAGAGTATTTTAATTCAGTCCCAAACTTTCTTCATACAGTCCTCCAAAAGTGTCCCTCGAACTTGACATCTCTATCAGAAACAATAGAATTTGGCACGCCATGTAGTCTCACCACTTCTTTGAAGAATAAATCAGGTACATGTGTGGCATTTGCAGTTCTAGAACATGGAATGAAATGCTTCATTTTGGAGAAACGGTCCACCACAACAAAAATATTGTCATAGCCCCTTGCTGTCTTCGGAAGTCCCAACACAAAATCCATGCTAATATGAACCCAAGGAGCTTCTGCCACTGGTAAGGGTGTGTATAAACCTGTGTTTAGTGAGCTTCCCTTCCCAAACTGACAAATCTGACACCTCCGAACAAGCCTATCCACATCTTTGTACATTCCAGGTCAATAATAACGATCAGCCACCA